GCTTTTCCCTGAGAAAATAATTCAGGGAACCTCCTCTCGTCGAAGCAGCTTAAGTTACATTCTCACCCTTTCTGGAAGATTCCTTCTTGAATCGTGCTTTTGTATTTTGCATAACCGTAGGAAACCATGTCACTTTTATGAAAGAACTATGAAATTATTTCAACAAGTGCTTGGTAAACAAGAGCCCGTCCGCTGTGCGTGCCCCAGGCAGCCAGCAAAGCTCCTGGGACGGGCAGAGCTCTCCCTGGGCTGGGCGGGGACATCCCAAGGGCTTTGCAAAGACACCTCGGGAGTGAGGTTTGAGGGAGTTTGATGCGATGCTGTGATTTTGGATCCTATATATAATAATATATAATAATAAATAAAGCTGCCTGTGAGGAGTGAGTGACCCCCTGCGCTGAAGAGGGACGTGCACCTTGGGAAGCTCCTGTGATGGAGTGAAAAAGGCTGAGCTCCTCGCTGGGCTCAGAGAGTCCCTGAATTGGGTCTGCCACAGAGAAATGCTTTAGTGCCTGCAGCAGCTGCTGGAATTAGGATAAAATGAAATACTTTCTTCTGGATTAGTTACTGCAAAATCTCTCATCCCAGCCTGTGTGAAAGTTCAACTGCTCCCTTTGTTCATGATGTGAAGGAGACTTTTGTCAACTCCAGTGTCTGGGTTTTCATTATTCTTTTTAAATAAAGGTCTTTTTCTCTATTTATTAAAAGTCTAAAACCTCTTTGTACTTTTAAAATCGGCTTTTAGCATCTGGGCTTTTCATTAAAGGTGCTGATAGGTCATGTGTCATCACAGGTGACCTTCAAGAACAGTGAAGGGCAGGTTTTGATCCTGAAGGTGAGCAAAGGAAAGATGAAGCTTTTCCACCAGCTTTGTTCCAGGCCCCCCTTGGCTGTGCCCACAGCTCCTTTCTGTATCTCTTCCTTGCAGCTGCAGTGTCCTGAGGGTGGTTTGAGGACTTTTCCTCTCTTTGCCTCTCCTGTGCGGCCATAGAAGGAGAAATCCCTGATGCACAGTCCCACACATCGTCAGCCATGAGGGGCACAGGTCACTCAGCAGCCCAGACACGACCTGTGTATGTGTGAAAGTTGTTCAGGACACAGCTGCTCCTCTCCAAGCATTTGGGACGAGGCTGTTTCTTGTTGGACCTGGAGAATGGCTCAGGAGGAGCTGGAGAGGAGCTGCCTTTGGCTGCCCCCGAGCATCTGTGCACTCAGATTCTGCTTCTGAAGTTACTCCTCATCCACCCTGAAATGAATAGAAAAGCAGAGCATCAGTGTTTATTTGTCATGGAAGAGAGGCTGATCTTTACTCAGCGGGACAGCCCTGGTGACTCTCAGGCCTTCCTCTGGGGCCCCTGGGTGACCTCCTTCATCTTCCCAGCATGGGCAGTCTGGGGCAGGCAGCCTGGTGTGACTCCCTGTGACTGTGCCTTAGTCACCTACTGTGACACAAACATGTTTCTGTCCCCAGAGGAGCAGTTTGTGGCTGGAGTGATGCTCCTTGAGTGGCAGAGCTGCACCTTGGTGGGGTGCAGGAGGCTCTCTTGGAGCAGACTGCAAAATTATGGGAGTCATTATGGAAAAATCCGTGTTTCCTGTATCTTGGCAAAGCTGGGGAGGGCAGTCCTGCATATTGCCTGTTAATTTATGATCTCTTTGGTACCTTGTAAAACAACAAAAGGAGAATTAACTGCTGCCCTCAGAGCTGTGTAAATAAATATCAATGATGAAACAGCAGCATCCAGTAATTCCTGCTGAGTATCACTTTTTCTGGGCAGACCCTCCTCCCCTCCCCTGCCATTAATTATTACTCATGAGAGGCACTGATTTATGGCAGGATGACATGGAAACTGTAGAGGACACAAAGTAAACTTGATAATGCTGGAAAAACAATGTTTGCCTTGTTTTTTATGAGTCCAAATGCATCCAGCAGAGCAGTGGAGTTATGGCCTCTGCTGGTGGCTGACCCATCCTTGCCAGCAGCAATGGCCCTGCCATGGCTGGGAGTTGTGGAGAGCTTTGAGGAGCACTGTGCCCATCCAAGGGTCATCTGGCCCAGCCTCCTTGCAGTTTCGTAGGCGCTGTCACTGCAGAGGTGAGGTGGCTCCTGAGGTCATTCTGGAGCTGACAGTTTCGTGACATCACACTTGACACCGCTGGGACACTGATACTGCTGTGGCAGCTGCAGAGCTGGAGCTGAGCCCTGCAGGTGACTCCGGAGGTGCTGGTGTCTCAGAGGAGTGGCAGGCTTTTCCCCTCCCTCCCTGCACCTCAGTTCTGGGGCACAGAGACCTTCACTTGCACAAAACATTTTCTCAATAGGCAATTATTGAGTTTTGAGCAGTTTTGCTCATATTTGGATTTACACAACACCGCAGTCCCCAGCAAGCTCCCAGTCAGTCCAATCTTTTCCAGAAGATCAGCTCTCCAAGCTACAGGGCTGGTCCTTCTGCCTCGGGTGACTTGTAAACCCCTGTGGAGCTTCACCTTCCTGTTGTAACATTCCATTAGATGTTTTCCACACCCCCTTTCTGCTTGAATTCTCTGAGAATGATGAAATGCAGCAAAACCAAGGCTATTTCCTACTCTTCTGGTTTTTATGGCATCCTCAGATCAAGGTGCTCTCTGAGCCTCCCCAGCTGCCTCCTCGTCCTGCAGCTCCTCCAAGGCTTTCCTTGTCTTTGGCTTTTCCCAGTCAGGATAAACATGTTTGAACCTTTGTGTTCTTGGAAATACATCGTGGTTTGTGTTTGCTCTGGGACAGGAAACCAAGTCAAGGTTGGTTTCACTGGGAGTCTTGGTCCCAGATATTTCCAGGAGCCACTTAACGGAGCCATGTGAGGGTGAGCTTGGCCCTGGCTGGGCTGCCAAGGAGAAGCCAAGGAGTGCAGGTTTGAGGACGTGGAGTGAGCAAAGGGTTTTGGCACCTCAGAGACTGGAACTTTCTAAATAAATCTGCTGGATGAAGTGATTTCCTCTCACTCCATAAAATCTTCACTCTTTGGTCCAGGGAGATTTACCAGCACATGGTTTGGCTGGAGGATTTATAACAGAGGATGGAGGGTCTCATTCCAGGGCTGTGGAGGGCAGGGAGCTGCTGCAGATCCCTTTTCCACAGGGCAGGTCCTGTGCAGCTTCCTGAGCCAGGAAATGCCTTGGAGATGCTGTGGGAGAGATTTTCTCTCCAAAATCCACACCGAACCAAAGTGCTCTTTGGATAACTTTCCCTTTTTAATGCAGGACAGATATCCAGCAGCAATAAATCCAACTGCAATAAACCTGCTTTCTTTGTCTCCAGAAACTGCTGCCCTGCTGAGTGGGAGCAGCCTCCCTTGCTCATGGATCACAAACCAGGACCCTCCTGACTGTATTTTACAAAAGGAATCTGGTTTGGCTCCCTGATCCACTTCTGGGGGATTTTTGGTAGATGAAAAATCACCTGCAGCCATTGCTGAGGATGTGAGGCACCAGGTGTAGCTGGGAAATGAAAGGGAGGCACAGCTGAGCCTCTCAGTTTGGGTTCCAATAATGATAATGATAAAGATAATTATAGTGATAATGGTTCAATTGAGGCTTTATCAAAGAAGAGGCGCTTTGATCACTCGGTGCCCATCAGCCCTGAGGTTCAGGGGAAGGACAGGCTGGCCAAGGCTGGAATTATCTCTGCTGCTGAGCCTCTGGGCAATGGAGCTGCTCCTTAGGAAGAGCTGCTGGCTGCCCTGGGAGGGTGTGGACACCTGGCTGGACACAGGGCAGAGCACTCAGAGCTGAATTTCCATCGCATATTTACACCTGAGGAGCTTTCAGTCTCTTAGTTCCATCCTGGGGATGTGTCTGTTCACTACATCGGCATCTCAATGGAGATGCTGATAAAACTGTCAGGATCTATTTAAAGTAACTCGGCGGGTGGGACAAAGCAGGAAAAAAATATTTGCCACAAATATTACTCACGTTTAATGGTGACTGATCTGTGTTTTACAACCCACGCTCTAAATGAGCCTTTGGGGCTGGAGTGAGCTCAGCCCGAGCTGCAGGTTCGTGTAATGCAGCCATAAAAACCTCACCTGCCTCCCGGAACCATCCGGGGCAGGTGCTGCAGCCCCTGACCTACTCTAACCCAGCGCTGGCAAACAGCCCCGCTCCCTTCCCTTCCTTCCCGACACCGGCTCGTAAGGATGTGATAAAAGAGCGTGCTTTGCCTCCCGGCTACCTGAACTATGCCCCGCCTGCCCCCGGCAGCATTTGCATGTTAAAAGCGGGGCGAAAGGGAAAAGGCACGCGGCACTTTAGCAAATCGCGGAATTTCTGCCCGGGCGCTGGGCGGAGGAGGAAGCTCGGGAACACCTCTGCCCTGCCTCCTGCTCCTGGCATTTAAATTCGGCAGTCGGGCTGGAGCTGCACCTCTGCTCCTCCAGCTCTCATCCCTCCAGCTCCCATCCTTCCCTCTCCCATCCTTCTGGCTCCCTACGAAGGAGGAGCAGCAGCCGTGGGGAACATGAGCTGTGACAGGTATCCCGTGGATGTGAAGGCTGTTGGCTTCATGCAGTGCAGAAAACAGAAGGTACTTTAATTTTTATTCTTTTTCTTTTTTTTTTTTTTTTTTTGGCTTTGTTTTCTTCCTTAAATATAATTTACAAACTGGGAGACCAGAGGATTTTGAGTTACTCTTCCAGGGATATGTTTGCTTATTCCCCATAGTACTGGGATTGGAGCCCAGGGGTCTGGATAAGGGGACTTGGTTTTTAATGAGCTTTATATCTTGGGGTTTGCTCTCTTTTTGTCACAGCACCATAAAATTCTCCTGGTTTCAGCAATCATTACCCATTTGGGACTATGAAATTAAAAACATATTTCTGTAGGTTTAATGCTTTATTTAATTTTTTAATGTGGCATTAAAAGCCTCAACTAAACCACAGCAAATGCTGATTGCCTGGAAGCATCCAAAATTGAACATTGTGATTAAACTGCTTTTCTTTTCCCTTTTCTTTTCCCAGAACTACATGATGTTTGTGTCCTGGTCAGATCAGAACAACATTCTCATTTACAGGACGTTTGAAGACTTTAAGAAATTCCATGTAAGTGAATTTTCAATTCCTTAAATGTCAAGGTTCCTGTCCTGCGGAGGGGAAGGAGCCTGGCCATGTGTCAGCTGTGAGAAATCACTGTTCTCTCCTTCTCCTTGGTTTTAGAAAGAGCTGAAGAGAAAATTCCCCACTGAGAGTGGGTCACTGAGGAGTTTACCCTGGTTTAAAGGTAAGGACAAATCTCTGATGGACCAACAAACCCAAGAGTGATCAGGGACAGCCATAACCCATGACAGAGACTGAGGTCTCTGAGCCTGACCTCCTCTGGAACTGATCAGGGGCTCACTCCTGCTCCTGCCATGGCACCACTGGCTCACATCATCACGTTTGAGTCTAGTACAGACTTCAAATGAACCAGAACAGCTTTGTAAATAGAGAGCTCCACTTGGCAAATTAATGCTACACTTCAAATATTGACCTAGAGCTTCTTGAAACTTTATATGTGAAAAAAAGAGAAATTTTAGATGTTAAAAAATCCTATCAGGAACTGTTAAAAATGACAGTTTGGGCTTGGGCAGGAAGGGTGGTGGCTGAGGGCACCCACTGTTCAGGGAAAAGATGCTGCTCCCAGGGATCCAGATCCATTGCTGTCCTATCCCAACTGTGCCCCTGTTATTTTGAAGGAATAACTATGCAGCAGAGGAAGGGTGGGAAGCTGAACAGGTGCCTGGAGATCCTGAAACTGCTGGAAACGTATTCCCGGGAGCTGCTGAAAACAGATGTGAAAATCTCCCGGGGTGAAGAGGTGAATCAGTTTTTCAAGGCACAGACTCAAGACCTTGATCCCTCCTTCCCTGAAAACAGGTGTGAAATATGAATTGTATTTTTTTGTTTGTTGGTGAAACAGAAATGTCATGGGATATGGGTAGAAGGGAAACACCAGTTACACTCTAGGGCAGCTCAGCTGTGTGCTTTTAATTTTGTTTCTGATGCCTGAAGCTTTTCTCAGCCTACTGCAGAAGTGATTTTACCAAAATCAATGCTAAACTCAACGTTTCACGTGAGTTTTTGACGTGCACCTTCACTTTCCAGTGCTGTGATCATGCCATCAGTATTCAGAAGGGAGAAGAGCCCCCAGCCCCTGTCCATCACCCTCCCTCAGGCGTCGCAGAGCTACCGCTGCCTCGAGGCCTTTGAAACCAAAGACACAAAGAACAAACCCTTCACAGTGGCTCAGAAGGAGATTGTGGAAGTGCTCATCAAGGACATGACTGGTAGGTCTGAGAGGATTCAGTGCTGGGCTGGATGGGCAGATGGATTCATAGCTAGGCAAATGCTGAGGTAGTGTCAGGGGTTCAGGTGTTTGCACTTGTGTGCTTACCTGGGGGGGCAGTGAATGTCCCTCCTGTCCCTCGTGTCCCCTACCCAGGGATTATTGTCATGTCTTGACTTGCAGGCTGTTAAAATCCAGGTATTTTTCCTCTTTGTAGGCTGGTGGCTGGTGGAAAATGCAGACAAACAGATAGCCTGGTTCCCAGCCTCATACCTGGAAGAGCTTGATGCCTGTGAGGACATCCAGCATGCCTTCAGCTCAGACGAGGAGGGTGAGTCTGTTCCTCCTTCAAAACATGAGTTCTGCAAACCACCACCACTTTACCACTGCCTGGAGTCCCTGCCTGGACTCTGACCTACCTCTGACTCTTCTGGTTGGCTCTGCCACCACCTGTGGGTCATGGAACCATGGAGTGGTTTGTGTTGGAAGAGAGCTTAAAGCCCATCCAGTTCCAACCCCAACACTTTCCACTGTCCCAGGTTGCTCCAAGGCCTGTCCAGCCTGGCCTTAGACACTTGCAGGGATCCAGAGGCAGCCACAGCTTCTCTGGGCAACCTCTTCCAGGGCCTCCACACCCTTTTTGTGAAAAACTTCTTCTTTATATTTAATTAAATGGATCAGATGGGGGTCCCTGAGCAAACCAGTCACTCTCAGGGACAGCTGCCCTGCAGCTGGGCTGGTCTCTCACAGGGAGCAGAGCATTTTCTCCACAAGGCAAATCCAACTGTCCCTCTCTCTGCAGGCAGCCTGTACTTTGTGGTGCAGGCCTATGAGGCTCAGAAGGCAGACGAGCTCTCGCTGAACCAGGGGGTGGTCGTGGAGGTGCTCAGGACATCCCACAATGGCTGGTGGCTGATCCGGTGAGGAGGCTTTCCCTGAGCCCTGGCTCCCCGAGGGAGCTGCTTGCTGTTCCTCCCGTGTGGGATGCACAGGAGCCCCCAGAGCTGGATGTCCTTGGCTGGGGATGCTCTCCCTGTCCTCACACCCCGTGTACAGCACTGACCTGCTCCCTAAGTGCTCCCTCCCCTTGGCCCGAGGTGCTGGAAGGGTTTGCTGAGTGTTCTTTCCCTCCCTGCCCTCAGGTACAACGGCTGCACTGGCTACATGCCCTCGCTGTGCCTCCGGCCCTACCAGAACCCTCACCACAAGCTCCAGAGCATCCTGAGCTGCAGCCTGCACGCCTGCACCCCGAGCCTCAGCTCCCGGGAGGAGCACAGCAGCTCTGCCAGGAGCAGATCCCACTCTCTGCCCCAGGCCAGCTCCACCCCACAGCTGGGGTTGGGGTTGGACAGCTCCTCGCTGAGCTCGGGCAGCAGCAGCGCTGGGGCCACCCGGCTGGCCTGGAAACCCGAATTATCTCGGTCCCTGCCCGAGGTGAAGCCGGCCAGGAGCTCTCCTGGCCTGAGCCACGAGCTGGCCACGCACAGCAGCAAATCCCCACAGCTCAGTGCCAGGGACAGGAACGACTCCGGCTTCGTGGAGTCCTGTGCAGCCGAGCTGCCCCTCGCTGCCCCTGAGCCGGCCGCGGGTGTCCCCAAGGTGCCAGCCCGGCCCTCAGCCCAGGAGATCCTGCAGCGCTGCAGCACCGTCACCAAGCGCGCCGTGCAGCACTCGGCCCCCCGGCCGGCCCTCCCGGACCCCTGCCAGCAGTAGTGGCCCTGGGCAGGGGACACGGGGACAGCCCTGACAGCCTGGAGTCCCCTGGGAGCCATGAGCAGCGGCTCCAGAGCGGCAGGGCTTGGGACTGTCCCCTCCCGAGGGACACGCACACATCTATCACCCCTGGAGTGCCAGGGCTTGGGAATGTCCCCTCCTGAGGGACACACACACCTCCATCACCCCTGGAGTGTCAGGGCTTGGGAATGTCCCCTCCTGAGGGACACACACACACCTCCATCACCCCTGGAGTGTCAGGGCTTGGGATTGTCCCCTCCTGAGGGACACACACACATCCATCACCCCTGGAGTGCCAGGGCTTGGGACTGTCCCCTCCCGAGGGACACGCGCACACATCCATCACCCCTGGAGTGCCAGGGCTTGGGAATGTCCCCTCCTGAAGGACACACACACATCTATCACCCCTGGAGTGTCAGGGCTTGGGAATGTCCCCTCCTGAAGGACACACACACATCCATCAGGGGAGTCACAGCTTGTGTCCCTGGGGATGGAAAAAGAGGTCACCTTTATGGACAGAACATTCCTCTTTCCAGGGGACTGGCTGGTTACTGAAACTCACAACAATTCTAATCCTCAACTCATTTGCTAGAAATGAGTTAGAAAAAGAGTTACAGGAAAATCAAGACTTTTCTCTACACTAATGGCTTTAATTGTACTTATTCTCCCAGGTATCTGTTAATATTTTTATAATGAAGTGTGTGTGTTTTTTGTGAGGTGTTTGTGTTGTTTGAATTTTATACTTTTCTTTTCTATGAAATAAAATATATGTAAATGTCTCTGAAACCTCCTTGTGTTTTATGCTTTAAAAATTTGCTATTTGGGGAATTTAAATTGTGCTTCTCTTCCTCCTAGGTGCTCAATTTTGGGTGGGCACAGGTGAGACCCCTGCTTGGTCCAGGCTGCTTTGCCCAAGAAAGATCTCAGCCCCATCAACCCTTTAAATCCCAACTGCTTGTTGGGATTCTGCCTTTTTTTAATCCCAAACTGCCTGCTCTTTGTGAAAACTCAGGGTGTGAGAACACAAACCCCAGCTTGGCCAAAGAAACGACCTTTTCCTTTCATTCATCCCTGAGGAGACTGGATGTTAGACTTGGTTTAGAAATGAAAACATTTATTATAAAATACAGGAACTAAAAATCCTGGTGGGAAAGAGCAAGAGGTGGGAGGAGGGGGGGTCACAGAGTCCCCTGGTCCTGCTGGGCCACATCTGCCAGCCTCATGTTGTGCCACATGAACTCGATGAAGGTGGAGGCCTGGAGCAGGCGGCTCAGCCTCTGGAAGTGGCGCTCTGCAAGGAGGGCAGGGCTCAGGGCACAGGGAAACCAGGCTGGGAGAGCTGGGAATGCCCAGCCTGGAGAAGGGAACACGCCAGGGAGACCTCCAGGGCCTGAAGGGGCTCCAGGAGAGCTGCAGAGGGACTGGGACAAGGGATGGAGGGACAGGACACAGGGAATGGCTCCCACTGCCAGAGGGCAGGGATGGATGGGATATTGGGAATGAGGAATTGTTCCCTGGCAGGGTGGGCAGCCCTGGCACAGGGTGCCCAGAGCAGCTGGGGCTGCCCCTGCATCCCTGGCAGTGCCCAAGGCCAGGCTGGACACTGGGGCTTGGGATGGGGATCCCACCCTGGGATGGTGGCCTGGGATGGGGATCCCACCCTGGGATGGTGGAAGGTGTCCCTGCCATGGCAGAGGTGGATTACCTGACCCACCCCTTCCACCCCAAACCATTCCATGATCCCTGACCCAAGCCAGCCCCTCCTGCCCCCACAGGGCCTCACCCGTGTAGGGCAGCAGGGACTCCACGGCAGATTTGATTCCTGAGAACTGCAGGAGGGTGTCGGGGGCCTCGTGCCTCAGGAGCGTCTCCAGGACAGCCTGGGCCTCGTGGCAGTTGCGGGAGTTGGTGTTCCACGTCACCAGGAACGCCAGCACGGCCTCTGTGGGGAACAAAGCCTGGCCAGGCTGGCACACAGCACAGCCCACGCTGGAAAACACCCCTGGGCTCTCACTGAGGTTCAGGTCCCACACGGGGACGCTCCCCATCCCTGCAATTGCCCAAAGCCAGGTCCTGGTCTACTGGATGATGTCCCTGCCCATGGCAAAAAGGTAAAACTGAACACTCTCCCAACCCAAACCATTCAGGATTGTAGGATTCCAATTTCAGTGACAGAAAAGCCTCTGCCCTGGAAGCTTTCAGCACTTGAGTTGTGCCACAAACCTTTCTGATCCTTGCGGAGCCGAACAATGTTCTCGTCCAGGTGCCTCCTCCCCTCGGGCTCCCTGAGGATGGCTGGGGAGAGAAACCACAGCAGGGACACCCTGGGTGATGGCACTCAGGGAAAACTCCGGCTTTCAGACTAATTCTTGGACTTTGAAGCCTTGAACGAGCTGGAAGAGGTGTCCAGGAAAGGAGGGAGGGCAGGAAATGCCCTCAGAGCACGCTCTGGACTCACCCTTGACCACGGTCAACACCGTGTGCGGCCGGTCCAGGGAGATGGCCAGGCGCAGAGCTTTGAGGTACCTTTTCTCATGGAGAAGGTTAGAAAGCTCTTGCTCTCTGGAAAACAAATCAGGGGCGAGAGTGAGACAAATCCTCGGGTGCTGAAAAAAACAAAACTACAGAAAAAGCAGCAGATTTGGCAATAACAGTTAAGGAGTTTGTGGTGCTCGTCAATAAATGCCCTCACTCCAATATTGGGATCAGGTGGAGCTGGATGGCTCCAGGTGTGGACAGCTCCACTGCACAGTTTGCCTTTCACAGCTCTTTCACAACTCACTTCATAATCTGCTCCTCCTGTTTAGCCTGTGCTTCTTTCTCCTCAATTTCAGTTACATCCTATAAAAGAAAACAGGTTAAAGCTTTATCAAATCCTGCTTTAATACAGAAGGGTTTTGATTTGGCCATCAAGTGATAAGGAGACCCATTTCTGCAGAAAAATCTTGGGGTCAAGTAATTTAAATGTTAAATTTCCAACTTCCCTCCAAAGCTCCGGTGCTGGAGCCCATCTCCTGCTCTGGGGACATACAGAATGGCCAAAAAATACCCCCAAACCCTAAGGTGAGCCTTGCTGACCTAATTTCAAACTGCAGACAAGGAAAACACGTGAAAAACAAGCCACTGAGACCCTGAGCTCTCCAATTACCCTGATTATTAACCCAGGGAGGAAGCAGCCCCCTGCTGTACCTGCCACAGGGTGATGCAGGAGTCACTGGAGGCTGTCACGACCATGTCATCTTTCTTGTTGGAGTGAAGGCCCCAGATTTTATCCTCATGACCATCTAATGTTTTCACACACTCGTTTGTTTTAATTGTCCAGAGTTTTAAGAGACCATCAGATCCACTTTTGGAAGAGAAACACAACAGAAAGAATCACTGGACAGATCCGTTCTTGCTCTGTCCCACCTCAAATATCACCTTGAATGAATTGAACAAATATCCCAATTCCTTCTAAACAGGAGCAGAGTTAACCAAAAATGTGGAGGGCAAGATGCACCCTTAGCTTTGTCTACTGAGTTTGTCCCAACCCAGCAATGCCAATGCAGCCACATGGAACTTGTGGGACACCTGGAGAGAAGGAAGATTAAAATAACCTCTACAGAAAGCCTGGCCTAAACATGGCATCTTCCTATAAACCTGTCCAAAGATTCTTTGGACACAAGAGTGTTTCCTCTTGGTGCTGCTGATGAGCTCACACATTCCCTGAACTCTGCAATCAGGCACAAACCTGCTGAGCAGCTGAGCCCCTCGGCTCACAAAGATGATCTTCAGCACTGAGGCATCGTGGCCTTCAAAGGTCTGCAAAACAGAAAGGAAGCTCAGCACTGCCAGGCCTCAGGAGAGACCCCCAAGGATCCCATTTACTCCCAAAGCCCAAAGGAGTAAGCCCCAAGTTTTGGAAGGATCCTTCAGGAACCCCAAGGTTTTACCCAGGGCAAGAGGCAAAGCTCTCATCACCTTCAGACAGCTGAAATCCCGAAGTCCCCAAAGCTTCAGGGTCCCATCAGCTGAGGAGGTGGCCAGGACCTGGTCCACAGGGGAGAACTGCACACACCAGATTCCACGTTTGTGGCCAGAGAAAACCCCCAGGAGGGAGCAGTCGGAGCAGGACCAGAGCTTGGCCAGCCGGTCCTGCGAGCCTGTGGCCAGCAGCTTGTCATTGGGGGACACTGCCACGCTGTTGATGTCCTGGGGAAGCCACAAGAGGAGGAGGAGGAGGAAGAGGGTCAGGCCTGGCTCTGGCTGTGGGACACTGAACAAACTGAGGCTGAAGCACTGAAAGATCAGGTGGAGCTGTACCTTGTTATGGCCCCTCTCAGTGACCCTGGCATGGAGGGGCTTTGGACTGGAGATCAAGGCTGCTTTTGCTTTGGAAGTGAGGGATTCCGGGATGTTCCAGATCTTGATGGTGCAGTCCTGGCTGCTGGTCACTACAAAGCTTTCCTTCAGCCTGAGAGCAGTGAAACCATCAAGGGCAGGGAAACAATTCCGTGGTTTCTCCTCCCTGACTGGGATCCCCACACTCAGCCACTGCTGGGCATGGAAAAGTGGTTTCATGGCTTCCCAAACTCTTTCAGAGGGACTCCCCCATCCATCCCTGGGAGTATCCAGGGCCAGGCTGGACAGGGGCAGTGTCCCTGCCCATGGCAGGGGGTGGCAGGGGATGACACCTGAGGCCCCTTCCCACCCAAACCATCCCATGACCCCTTCCCACTCAGGCACCAGGAGAAGATGGGAGCAGGGGTGAGAAGCAGCACAGCTGGGAGGGGGGCAGCACCCAGCAGGACATTCCCCTCCCTCAGTCAGCGTTACCTGGAGCAGGCGACAGCGCCCACGCCGTGGGCATGGCCCAGGCCCTGTGCCACACAGGTGACCCTGCCAGCCCTGCCCATGCGCCACAGCCGCACGCTCCTGTCCTGGGGGAGGACAGAAATGCCTCAGCTGCCTGGCCATCAGCAGCTCCCTGTGCTTTCCCC